AAAAGCTAAGCTTCCTGCCAAGTGAAGTCCTGCATGAGCAGGCTTGTCACACCTGTGGCCTTTGCCTGTGGCCTCTTTCCTCTCCTTTGAGGCCAGCTCCCACCTCCACTGCCCTGTGAAGCCTTCTGGGACTTTTCCTGCCACTGCCTTTGGACTTCTCTTCTCTTTCCCTATTGCTCTCAAGGTGCAGCTCAAAACCAAAAGGTCTTGCCCACTCTGGCTTCTCCCAGCACTGAGTCCTCTAGCCAGCAGGTTATCTTCTGGTACTCTCTTTCAGCACCGTTGATTTCTAGTTGCTCAAAAGCATCTCATGTGCCTGTCTCCAGCCTTTGAATGATCTGTGACCCTTACTAGGAATGTCCTCTGATTGCTCCTACTCATACCTCTGGTCCTAGCCAGACCTAAGCTAAGACAGATGTTTTCTGTGGGCCTGCCCACTCCCTGGGAATGGGTTTCTCTCCCTTTTTGGCTGAGAGCTCACAAAGGTAGAGCTGGGGCCTTTGCACAACCTGTTTCCTCTCTCTGATTTCCCTTCTGATTTCCCTTGGTCCTTTAGGTCTCAGCTCTGACATCTCCAAAGAGCAAAGCCTCTTTGCTCTCTTCCACTCTCAGCTGAAGTACTTCCTCTGGGTTCTGCCAGTCCCATGGGGCTCTTCCAGCACAAGCCACTCTGGGCTGCCACTGTCACTGTCACTAATGTGTTTCTCTCCCCTATTGGAATACAACCCTGTTACCAGGGACTGCTGGGGCTCTTTTGGTCTTCTGCTATGTCCTAGTGGCAAATAAACACCTAGCTGATGAATGAATGAAAAAATACTTTTAACTAAGTACTCTAAATGTAATAATAATAATAACCCTATTCTATTTACTGAGCATTCACTATGTGCCAGGCATCAGGCAACTTAATGTCTTATTTAATTCTAACAACTCTAGGAGGTGAGTACTACCATTATTAGGAAAAGGGACAACGAACCTCAGTGAAAAAAAGTCACCTGAAGCAAGCACCTCCCCTCCCTGGTAAGTGGAGGCAATGGGGCAGACTGCAGCCCTTCCAGGGGAAGAACCAGCAGTGTCTCCTGAGATCCACGCCATGTTGGAACTTAGGTCTCTGGGAAGCCAAGCAAGTACCTCCCCTCCCTGGTAAGCGGAGGCAGGGTGGTCCACTGCAGCCCTTCCAGGGGGAGAACCAGCAGTGTCTCCTGAGATCCACACCATGTTGGAACTTAGGACACTGGGAAGCCAGGCAAGCACCTCCCCTCCCTAGTAATCGGTGGTGGTCTAGCTGACTGCAGCCCTTCCAGGGGGAGAACCTGCAGCAGCTCCTGAGATCCGTGCCATTTTGGAACTGAGGATGCTGTGAAAACAAATGACCATCCTGCCTCCCTGCTAAGCAAGAGTGAACCTACTGCTACATGTCTTTTTTTGTTTGTTTGTTTTTTGTCGGTACCAGGGATCGAACTCACGACTGCCTGCTTGCAAGGCAGGTGCTTATGCCGCTGAGCTAAATCCCCAGCCCCTAACCTACTGCTACATGGCCTAGGGTCAAATATCCCACTTCCCCTATTCCCTCCCACCCATTAGCTAATGGGAACCAGAAATCTGAGCGTCTCCTGGGAGGTTGACCATAGCAAATAAGGGGGACTTCCTTCTACCATTTCTTTGAAGGCAAATATTTTTATTACTGTTTTGCTCTTTTCTGATTAATGGTACTGCTCTATTCAATATTCTGCTTTGATAAGTTCTATAGTGTTCTTTCATCTCATTTTGATATACATGATTGAAAGAACAAATATTATAAAGATAACAAAATATACTGTGATACCTATTACTGTTATCCCGGTAACCTGCTGTGAAGTTCTGTACCAATTTCACTGTACGATCTTAGTTGGCTTTATTCTGACTTATCTGTTTTATACTTTCAAAATAAAATTTTAAAAAAAGTCACCTGCTGGGGCTGAGTTCAATCCCTGGTACCGATAAAAACGAAAAAAAAAAAAAAAAGTCACCTGCTTAATCACAAAGACGACAGGAAGCAGAATCCAAACTTTAAGCCAAGTGATTGGACTCAGTGCTAGAGGTTTTGGTTGTTTTGTTTTGTAGTAGTGGGGACTAAACAAGGGAGCCTTCACAATGAGCTACACTCCAACCCCTTTTATATTTTTATTGAGTCAGAGTCTCGCTATAATGCTAAATTGCTCAGGCTGGGCTGAAAATTACCATTCTCCTGCTTCAGCCTCCCAGATTTCTGGGATTACAGATATGCACCACCACACCCAGCTCGGTCTTTAATAATTACTCAGCATTCCCCTCAGTTACTTCTGGTTTGTACTTGTCAAACTGGGTTTGCACACATCTCCCCCACCAGACTTCCAGACCTTCCAGGGGAGGGTCCAGGTTGGCTGCAACCCTGGGTGTCCAGCATTTTAGGGCACAAGCCCTGGACAAATCCGGGGTCTAGGAATGTATTGAATGGATGAATATACAAATGAATGAACTAGCCATAAATGTGTGACCCACGCAGCCCCACTCACCCTCGATAAGCCATTCGCAGTTGCCATTGACGCTGTAGTTGCCTGCGCCATCCGTCACGAAGCCTGGCGCCTCCCGTAGCACCTGCCGCTGCCCCTTGCAGTCCCCTGCCAGGGCCAGAGGCGACAGCAGCACCAGCACGGCCAAGGCCAGAGTCAGAGCCAGAGCCCGGGCCAACGCCATTCCCGACTACCACCACACTGACCCGTAAGCCAGGAAGGACCTAAGAGACCCGCTGAGGACCCTCCACCAGCGTGAGGGCATGCAGTGCGACCTCTATAGGCACAGCATGGCCTTGCACACCAGGGAGGTCCCGAAGACGCAGTCCCTCGGAAGGGAACTGCCGCTGTTGATGGGCTCTGCAAATCGAGGGGCGGGCTCTATAGAGCCATGAAAGGCCCTGTATATGGGGTCGTTATGGATGAGGTCGACCCCTAGGGACCATAAGGGTCCTCTACAGACACGGGTTTCCATAGAGGAGTCGACCCCATAAACGGTGTCCCGCAGTTGGACTCCGGCCGCTGAAGACCAAAACAGACCTTAAAGACGAAGGGTCACCAGGGGAGAAGGCCTCTACCGCTCGGCAGAGTCCTCCATAAAAGGTGTGGACTAGCACCCGCCAGGCCCGGACCGGCCCAGGTAGACACCTCCGGCTGGGGGCGGGGCGCGAGTGGGTCCCGGGGGCGGAGCCTCGCTTCAAGCGCTTGGGCCCGGATTCCCATAGGCGCACTCCCTTCGCTCACCCACCCGTGCCTCCCTCCTGAGCCGGATGGGCCGGATCAGAGAGACTAGGGGATTCTCAGGCCAGAGTGGCCCAAAGAAGACCCGCTGGGAGGGCCAGGGGGCGGGAGTCCCGAGGCCGCTCTGGAAAAACGCGCGGAGAGGAACCGAGTTGTTGCAGAGGTTCAGCTCAGAGCGGCCCTAGGAGGACTGCGGAGCGCCCAACTCCACCCCTTCGCAAAGGGAGACTCCCGGAAACTTCCCCTCCCATCAGTTTCCAGCCGCATGCGCAGCAGCGACCTCCTGGACCAGCGAGGAGGTTTGCGCATGTGCAATGTCAAGCTTGTAACCCAAACTCCGGGGTGGGTAAAACCTATGCTGGTGACTGAGCAACGCAAAATGCCCCCGGAGGGCGTCTCCATCGCTCAAGGTTTAAAAAAAAAAAAAAAAAAAACAGTGGTGCAAGATAGAGTTCTGCTAGCAGATTGGTATTTTATGTGATCCCAGATTCTGGGTCAATTTTAAGGTTAGGTTACTAGACCTTTTCCTCTGGACCAAACGCCATTTCACAGATGTACATACTGAGATCCAGAGCTTGAACTTGCTCAGCCTCATCACTAAGCACCATCAACATGTAAGAAAGATGAAAAAGAACGTGGGAGTTGGTAGCACATCCCTGTAAACCCACTACTCCATAGGCTAAATCAGAAGGATCGCCATAAATTCGAGGCCAGCCCGGGCTACATGGTGAAACTTTGTCTCAAAATAAAACCTAAATAAATAAATAATAAAAGGAGGCATGTCGGGCCCGGGCATGGTGGCTCATGCCTGTAATCGCAGCACTTAGGAGTCTGAGGGCAGCCTGGGCTACTATAAGCGAGTTTAAGGCCAGTCTGAACTACACAGTTAGACCCTGTCTCAAAATGAATAAACAAAGAAAGGAAGCATGTTATAGATAAAAACTCAATGAATCCTTTTTATTTTGGCAAGAAGGTTAAACGTCTCTCTGCTAGGGACACGAAAGAACGCCCCCCGGAATGCAGACTGGAGCAGAGTACGGTGGTCCGGTCACAGATCCGAGGGAGGGTTTCAGAGAGGCCAGCTTCACAATATCCGTGACGGGTGCAGTGGCTTGAGGTCGCACAGTCCTGAAGAGTCACGGGCAGAATCCCAGCGGTCTCGATGGCTGTCCAGAGTCCAGCAGGGTCAGAGGTCTCGGAGGGGGCCAGGGGGCCGAAGATCGCAGAACAGCGGGAGCCCAGAATCCGGCGCCGTTCGGGGCAGGGGCTGAGGGAGGGGACGGGGAGAGCGGCTCCCGCGGGACCGTTTGGCACAAGAGGGTTAGGGGTGGGACGCAACGCACCCCACTTGGGCGCTGGGGGCAGGTGGGGAGGGTCGTGGGACCTGGGGCGGGGACAGGGCCGGGGGTCCGGAGCCCAGCCGGGGCCCGGTGCGCGCCCATGAGGCAGGGGCGGACAGGGATGCTCAGACCGGGGGTGCAGGGCCCCCGGCCGTATGCATGCTGAAGTATTCGGTGAAGCCGGTGTGCGGCGCCGCCGTCGGGGGCACGAGCGGCTGGTAGGGCGGCGTCGGGCCGTCCCAGCCCGGGTCAGCCGCCTTGGGAAACCGACCGGGAGGGGGCGGGGAGGCTGCGCCCGGCTCGGCCATGGTCACCACGCGGCCCCTCGGGGCCACCGCCGCCGCCACCGCTGTCTCCTCCACCTGCTTCCCGGCCTGGGAGGGGGGTCAAGGTCAGTGGCCGTCCGGGACCCGCGGGGGGGCGGATGTGGCACCGAAGGCCCGTCCCCCTCCCCCCAAGAACCCCACCACCCTAAGCATGGGCACGTGTCAGTCAGGGAAGGAGTGGGTGGCGGGCCGCCTAGGCAGCGGAGCCAGGTACTCGAGGGGAGGCGTCGGAGTGCGCCTGGCGAACTCCGGCGGCGGCCGGGGAGCCGGGGGAGAACCACGAAAAGCGGGCGGCGGGGGCACGGCGCGTGGCGTCCGCGGGGGCGTGCGCAGGAGCGCCAGGACCCAGTCTGGCAGGGTGGGCGCGGGCGCCAAGGGGCGGTCGCGGCGAGGCGTCGGGGCGCGGGGTGTGCGGAAGGCAGGGGGAGGGCTCAGGCGGCTGGGCGCAGGGGGCGGCGGCGGGGCCGGGAGCGGGGTCAGGTACTCCAGGGGCGGCGCCAGCAGCTCCTCTGGCGCTGGGGCCGCAGGGCTTACGGAGGAGGTGGGCGGGGGGATGGAGAAGAGCTCCGTGAAGTTGGGCACCGAGTCGCTGATGAACGTCACGTTCCCATAGACGTGCTGTGGGAAGGCCTTGTCCGCCGACTGGCCGCCTCCGGGTCCCGGGGTTCCGGCAGAGGCGATTTGCGACGTGCGCACATGGTATGGGAAGTTCTTGTTGGCCGCTGACGGGCGAGTCATGATCTGGGGCAAGGGGTCAGCCACAGGTTGGAAAAGCCTAGCGCAGCCCAAAGCCTGCCCTTAAGTACCTGGGTCCTTTCTCCAGGTTTGGAGTCCTAAAAAGTATCCTCTATGTAATGGGGTTTGGTGATGCTTGCCTATAATCATAGCACTCCAGGAGGCTGAGGTTAGGAGAATTGCAAATTTGACCCCACCCTAATTAGTTTAGCAGCTGAGTGAGTCCTTGTCTCAACATATTTTTTCAAAGGGGCTGGCGATGATAGGCTGGGGGTGTGCTCAACAGAAGGCTCCTATGTTGATTCCCCAGTACCACACACACACACACAAACACAAACATACAGTGTCCCCTTCACTTCATCACATCATGCCACGCATACTTCGATGTAGCCACTCAAACTGAATTAGGTGCCTCCTGTGGGCTGCAGCTGTACCCTGAGTTCTGACCTTTCCCCTCAACACATCTCTTACTACTGTGCCTGTCAGCGTCCTGATCACTGGGCCATCAATGACTAGTTAAGATCCTCATCATGTGCTATCCAGTATGATAGCCACTGTCACATGTAGCTTAAATTTAATAAAAATTAAACTAAAATTTAAGCTTCTCAGCTACACCGTCCTACTCATGCAAGGGCTCATTTGACTATACTGGGAGACACAGATTATAGGATATTTTCATAAACACAGCTCAGTTACCAGTTAATAGTCTAGCGTGTTAGACTATTCTGCCTTCCTGTAAAGGCAGGAACTTGACTCTCCTGTTCCCTGTTGAATGTCCAGTGTATTCTAGAGCACATAGAAGCCCTCAGTGGATATCGGTGGAATATAAGGATATCACCATAGTCTGAAGCCATGAAGACAAGACAGTAGGTGTGACTTCACTGTCATTATCCAGAAGCCTAACGCAACCCTCTAAGGCTGCACCGAATGTAGGAAGCCAGTGAGTGGTGAGATGCCAGAGGTGCAAGGACACTGACCTGTACTAGGCTTCCCCCACCCACCTCAGCATGTACTGGGGATTGAACCTAAGACCTTTGCTTGGAGCTACATTCCCAGCCCATGGTTTAGTACTTTGGAGGTAGGGTCCTGTTAAATTAATTGCCCAGGCTGGGCTTGAACTTGTGATCCTTTTGCCTCAGGCTCCCAGAGTGCTGGGATTACATGTGTGGGCCATCATGACAGCTTTTAGGAAGGAAGCTACTTGAAGGTGAAATAACAGCAAGGGTACTTCTTGGCTCCATCACTCACTGAGTGTGGAATCTGGGGCACATTGACAAAACCTCCTGAGCCTCACTGACTGCCAAAAGGGATTACAATGCCTATTTGGAAAGATGAGAGGGTAGAAATGAAAACCACTGGTGCAGAGCCCAGCTGGGTACATGGTGGGTTCTCAGTGTTTCCTCTTTCTGTCCCTTTCACACTTCTTGCAGAGCCTCAAGATGTATTGGCCAGGGAAGGTGAGTGAGTCTGTACCTAAACCAGGTTCTGAGGTGATGAGTGGCAGCCTGGCCCCTTCCTTGGGCTTCTGGGTACTTTCCCTGCACATTATGACACATTATGGTTCCCTGGAACCATAGAAGCTGAGGCCCTCAGTGGTGCCTGTTTCCCCTTAGTGGTGCCTGTTTCCCTTTCTGGCTTCCCCTGATGTAACACCTTGTGGTTGACCAGCTAACATGCCTGCCGTGCCACCAAAGGCCATGGACCCCTAGCAGCTCATCACTCCTCTCTGGGCCTTCGTGTCCCCCTGTCTATGTACACTGCTATCCAGCCTGCCCTGGGGCTGCTCTGAAAATGGAAAAAGAGCAGGGGTAAATGCATATGAATATTCCTAGCAAGAAACATACAAGACAGGAGCCCTGGGGACAGTTGGTGGCTGGCTGGCTGGCTGGGTTGTCCCCAAGAAACTCAGATAGCTGGGCGTGGTGGTGCATGCCTATAATCCCAGCACTTGGGAGGCCAGGACAAGGAAATTATTGCAAATTCAAGACCAGCCTCGGCTATAAAGTGAGCTCAAGACCCTGTCTCAAAAAGACAAAAAAAGAAAAGAAAACCAAGAAGAAGATCCAACAGGATGTGAACCAAGATAAAGAACAGATTTGATGCCAAAACCCTTCTGATACCCAGTTCTGGACAACATTCTTCAGATCTAGGCCACCAGAAGCCACAGATGGTCCCACCCCAACTGCTTCTTTCTGAACAGTGACTTATGATGGGAGAATGGGAGGAGGGAGGACTTGGGGAGGACAATGGGGAAATGAAAGAGTCTGGGGACACAGTCAGGAATGGGAATGGGGATTGGGACAGAGAAAGAAAATGGAGTTGGGGGAAGAGGTCAGAGTGACAAAAAGCAGGAGAGAGGAACAGAAGATTAGAAAAGTGTGCTCTAGGGAATACAGCAGACTACCTAGCAGTCTGTCTGTATGCTACATGTATCTTGTTTCTTTTTCTTTTTTTTTCCCCTGCTGGAGCATGAACTCATGGCCTCACGTGCTAGGCAGATGTAGTGTCTTCTGAGTGATTAAGGGCTAAAGAGTTAAGGGGAGATAGATGGGTCAAGAGCTCAGAATAGAATGTTCGGTAGTTCAAGGGTAGGTGCCTCATGCATCTTCTGCCCTTCCATTTCCCACCCGACTGGACACATGTCCTTACCAGGAACACACCGTGGGCATACAAGTGAATCCCCAGCTGGATGCCATTGACAATCTTCTCCCGGGCCCACTTAGGGATCCCGAAATTGGCAATCAGTGCCATGACAGGAACCGCAAAAAACCTGCACAGGAGATATTGGGTGGATAGAAACTGCCTCTGGCTCCATCCCATTCCACAGCCCCATCTCCTTTGCCATGCACACAGTCCCAGACAGAACCCAAACTGAAGCCAGAGGTTGAAAGAGGACAACAATCTTACTGGACTGGGAAATTCTAGGAAGCAAACACTAGGTTGAATTTAACTGGGCTCTAGGCAGCTAATAGGAAAACAATTGATGTTTGATGATGGGACTATCAGATGATAACAATTAAGGAATTATTGAATGCCAGGCCTCTCTCTCTCTCTTTCTTTCTTTTTTTGGTGTTTTGTTTTGTTTTGTTTGAGACAGGGTTTTCCTATGTAGTCCAGAGTGGCCTTGAACCTACTATGTAGCTCAGGCTGGCCTCACACTAATAACAGTCCTGCCTCAGCCTTCTGAGTGATGGAATTACAAGTGTGTGCCACCACACCTGGGCTATTTTTAAGCCACACATATTCACTTAACTCTCACAATGGGTCTATGAAGCAGGTACAATTTCCATCCCCATGAACAGATGATGACACCAAGGCAGAAATTAATGGAATTATCTGAGATTGCAGAGTTTGTAAGTTTTACAGCCCCATATATTGCCCTATTTGTGCTCAAGAAAACCCTTTGCAGGAGATATTACCAACCACTTTATTCTGTAGGCGAGCAACTTGAGAAGTACTCTGCAAAAGTAATTTTTTTTCCAGTGGGAGAATGGAACCCAGAGTGCTATCCATGTTACACAGGCTGCAAGCACTGCACCACATTATCACCCTTATTTTGGTTTTTATTTCTTTGTTTAGTTTTTTGTATGAGGGGGTTGTTTTTTCTTTTTCTTTTTTTTTTTTTTTTTTTTTTTTTTTTTTTTTTTTTTTTTTTGTTTGAGACAGGGTCTTGCTACATGGCCCAACTGGCCTCAGACTTACAGCAATCCTCCTGCCTCAACCTCACAAGTACTGGCATTACGAGCATGTACCACTGAGACTGGCTCTTGTTTCATTTTGTTTTGAGACAGTGTCTTACTTTATAGCCCGTATTGGTCATGATCACATTCATTCAAATTCATGATTCTCCTGCCTCAGCCTCCCCACTGGCTAGAGTTACAGATGTGAACCACTGTCTCCAGCTTAAAAATGATTTGGGGGCAAGTCAAGAGCCTGAGAAAAGGGGATTGCCATGAGTTCCAGACTAGCTTGGACTATACAGTGAGACCCTGTCTCGGAAAAAAAAAAAAAAAAGAAAAAAGCAATAATTTTTTGTTTTTACAACACTAAAGGCTGAACCCAGGATGTTCCTACTGAGCTAATCCTTGTTTATTTACTTAATTTATATTTTGAGACTCAGTCCCACTAAGTTGTTAAATTGCCAGGCTGTGCTTGCATTTTGATGCTTCTGCCTCAGCCCCCTAGAGTACTGGGACTACATGCATGTGCCACCATGCCATGGCTCTGAAAATAATTTTTTATTCTCACCTTTTTTTTTTTTTTGATTTGTGAGGATAATCTTTGTAAGTGGGGAGGTGGTAGATTTTGAGTGACAATTACCTGACTTGGAAGCCTGTCTTCCCTATTGAGGAGGGTCTGAGTTGGCATAGACAGGTTGGGGGCCCACCACATCTCACCAGAGGGTGTAGGCAGCAAAGAAGGGCACGTAAAAGGGTTGCTTCTCAGGGAAGTGGCGCAGGGAGATGAGCACGGCGTAGCAGAACCACACATAGGCTGCCACCTGCAGCCCGATGAGCCCGTAGCCGGCCGGAGACTCATATGTATACAGTACCTGGCCTGGATCGAAGAACTGGACCCACAGGACAGAGTTAATCATAGCACTGGCCTTCTGCCCTGGCCCCCACCACTGGGTACCCAGGGAACAGAGTTACTGGGTCAGAACAGGAGCATCAGGGAAGTCAGGGATGGAGATAGAAGCATATAGAGGTAGAGAGGACAAAAAAGCTAGGAAGAGGCAACATCGGCTATCTTGTGCCCAGCATGGGGACAAAGGCCTGCCATGTGCAAGCTTTTCCATTAGCATCAACTCAACAAGGAAAGTCTTACTATTTCCCATTTTATGAGGGGTGGGGGGAGACTGAGGCTGAGCATGAAGACCTTGACTAGAGCCATAACATGATACAAAGCCTCAGAGGATGGGTAAGGTCCTCCTAATTTTCAAAGAGGGAAACAGGTTTGGGAGTCATCACCCAAAGTCAGCCATCTAGGAAGTGGGAGAGCCAGTGAGGAATTCAGTTCTGTACGACACCTGAAGTCTTAGACACAGAGCTTAAATGTCACAGACAGAAGCAGAAGGAAAAGGAAGAAAGCTCCTGAGAGGAGGTCAAGGAATCACCCAGAGAGAAGAAAGCCAGGAAGACACCAGGTGAGGAAGGGCAGCAGCAGGGAGGTCAAGGAGAAGGAGGCCACCAATAGTCTGGGAAAGGAGGGACTTGGCAGGGGCTGGGGGACTCACTTCGGCCTCGTAGATGAGCAGCACCACGTGGGTAAGAGTGTACAGTGTCATGTAGACAGACAACTTCACGGAGCCGGAGTGGCTGATGCGGCCCCTGGCGGCAGCCCATGAGAAGAGGAAGCAGGGGTGGGGGTCGTCAGGGAGGAGGGAGTGGCCACCCCCCATGCCCACCCACCCCTACGCAGCTCCCCAACCCAGCCACCCAAGGAGCACTCCTGCCCGGGCACCGTGTCACCGTGAATCCCTTCCCCAGAAGGATGAGCATAAGCAGGAAGATGAGGAAGCTGGAGGAGAAGAGCAGCTTGGCTGGGGAAGAAAGAAGGGTTCAGAGATGGCTGGGAGAGTACCGCTCTCCCACAGCACTCCCACAGCTGACTCCATGCTCACCCAGGATCTTCACACTTTCATTGCCAATGCCATCGGTGGCATACTGACCCCAGTAGATGCAGAAAAACAGGAGGCTCAAGACTGGAGGAGCAATGGTCAGAGAGGGAAAGGACAGAAACTAGCTGTAGGGATCACTGTCCTATAGCACTGTGACACAGATGACATGAAGTCTACTTCATCCCCATTAGGACTCCAGATTCTCCACTACTATCTGCTAGATTCTGGAGTTAGTTGCCCCCTACCCCGCTTCCCTCAAACCTACAGCTCAAGGTCCTAGCCCTCCACCCATAAGCCAAGGAGTCCAGGCACCCAGCAGCCCTCCTTCCTCAGACCCAGAGGTCCAGGCCCCCGCCATTCATTCCCCAGGACCCAGGGGGGCAGGTTCTCAGCTCCTTCTCCCTTAGACCCAGATATATGGGTTCCAAGTCTCTCCTCCCACAGAACTCAAAAGCTGGGTAACTCTAAACCTACCCTCCACTCCTGCTGCAGCCATGAACATTTTGTAAGTTGTGTGGAGCAACTGACGACCTTTCAACAAATCTAGGAAGACATGAAAAGGCTGGTCACAGACAGAAGGGAGGGCAGCACATTTTCCATGCTCCACCCCCACACACACATCTCATACCCCCCACTATATGCTGAACTCACATCCAAAGTAACAGGAGAGAAAGAAGATGAGGATGAAGATAAGCAGGAAGGTCACATCTGTCTCCAGGATCCCTACGATTTGGTGGAAGGAAGAAATAGTTGATGGAGTGAGTATCCTCAGCAGGCACCAATTCCGAGCTCCCACAGAGATCCTGGCTCTAGTTCACCAGATAACTACTCACCAAACTCATCGGCTGAAAAGTGCCGTGTCCAGAAGGACTTGCCATTGGTGAGGACCATCTCATACTCCAGCTGCAGTCCCTCTCCCTATGGGGAGTGTGGAGGCCTAAGGGGGACCCTGGGCAGGCAAAGGGGTCCACAGGAGGAAAAGGACCAGCTGGCCCCACCGGCCACTTACCCCACACTTGCTAAGCGCGATGTACCACCACCTTTCTCGCACAGAGCGGAAGCTTCTACCGCTGGAGCAGCTCAGGTAACGTGTTCCCTCCTCTGACACCACCTGAGGGGGAGCCAGGACAAGGCTGAAGACTGTCCTCCATTGCTTGCCAGGCCCTTGACCTTCAGCACCTGCCCACTGCCCGCACCTGACAGCCTGACCAGGCATACTGGGTGGTAAGGTTGATGACCTGGTTGTTCTCTGGCCTGATCACTGACTCCTTGGCCAGGCAGTCCTAGGGAAGGCAGAGACAGAGTCACTCCCTGGCCATCAAGGACTTTTCTGTTCCCCTCCCCCTATAATCTCACAACCCTCACCTTGTCCCCTGCTTTGTACACAGCTGGCCACTGGGATGGGTCATCAAAATAGAGAAGGATGTTCTGACAGCACTTGGCCTGCAGACCCAGAGAATCCGAGGTTTGAGGGAATGTGAGGGGCTGGACTACCCTTGCCTTGAGGGCCAAGGGAGTACCCAGCCTCAGCTTGAAGTGGTTGGGGGAGACTCACCTCAGGGTAGCGGAAACGGAAGTCAAGTCGCCCGTAATCCGAGAGGAAACAAAACCTTGTCAGGAACACCCAGTCCTGGCAAAGCGGCCTAGTCAGACCCTCTTCCTAGACCTTTGAGAGCTCTCCTGGACTTCATAGACCTTCAACTTCTCTTCCCTACCCTCAGGTCCCTGGCTTCCCAAATACTGCAAGCCCAAGTCACCTTCATAATTCTTTCCAGATCCGTTTGCCAGGGGTCCAGGACTCCTACCATCTTGATTTTTTTTTTCCCGAGATGCAACCCCCACCACCACTAAGTTACCCTCCCCTCCCCTCAGACACTCCTGTCTCCATTTTCCAGGAAACCAGAGAAAGACCCTGGAGGGCAAGGTGACCATCTTAGCCACCTTTGGTCCCAGCCACCCTGCCACCCGCATCCCCCCAGTTATGCACACACACCTCCGCCCCACGGCAGTCCCAGAGACCATCCCAAGCTGGGGAATCTTCCAAACCGCCCCTCTCGGCCCTGAGCGTAAGGGTAGCTGAACTCTGGCTCTCTGCGGAGCAAAGACTGCTGTCCCTTCAGCACCACCTCGGCCTTGACCGGCGTCCCGCTCCGCTCTCCCAACTGGCCCCCTCCCCACCTAGCTCTGACCTCCATGTCCCCCATACACCCCCGGGGTCTGGCTTCAGCCCCGCAGCCTCGCATCTCCGATCCTCCGCTACCTGCTCCCCACCCGGCCGGCTGCGGCTCCCAGTTCCGCCGGGGGGGGGGGGGGGCAGGGGGCGGGGCGGCACCTGTCTCCGTGGTGCCCCCACCGCCCCGGCTGGCGGGCAGCTGGGGAGGGCCCTGCATGCTCACCTCCTTGGAGCTGAGGTTGCCCCGCACGTACTTGGCCCGAGCGCGCGGGGACAGTGGCAGCAGCAGGAGCAGAAGCGGCGGTAGCAGGCGGCGCAACGCAGGCGTGCACCGGGGCTCCATTCCGCCCGCTCGGCCCCGGCCCCGCTCCGGCTCCGGCCGGCGACGGAGGCGAGAGCGCGCGGGAACGGTCAGCGCGCCCCCGATTAAAGGGGCCGCTGGGTGCAGCCGTCCCCGCCCCTCTCTATCCAGATGGCCCAACCTGGTCGCTGCTCTCCCCACTAGAGAGAGGATGCACGTTTCCTATCTTTTGTCACCCGCCCCAGCTTCAATTCTGTCCTCTCTGGAGCCTTGTGGATGCCTTTGGTTCCCGTTGTTTTCCATTGAACTCAGTCCCACAAGCCAAGCCTCCTTCAGACTGCAGTCCCTCGGACAGTTCACAGCCCCCAGGCCTGAGCTCCGTTCTGACCTGCCCTCAGTGTAGTCCCCGAACTATTCTTTGACTACCCATTGATCTGTTCATAGTAGCCACTCCCAGCCTGCATCTTTGTGAAGTGCCTGCAGAAGAACAGAGGGCGAGCCACTAGCTCTAGGTCACACAACTCTAAGGCGACAGAGCTCTCTGCCACAACCACCATACCCGGCTGTCACTTCTTACCAGAGTGTGAAATGGGGTTGCTGTGAGATGAAGACAACCAGGACGATGTGTGAGACATCCAGGAGCATGCACTCAAGCTGCCGAGGTTCAAATCTCAGCATTGCCATTTTTCCCACCATAAACTGGTGACCCACTCATTCAGTCCAGTGATCTCCTAATCCAGCTCACTCTGTTCAAATCCATGCTGTGGTTTCTGAGGGCAACCAGGAGTCCTGCAAATTCCTCAGCTTGATCTTCCTGATAAGATTCCAATCAACATTCCCAGTTTCATCCCTCTCCTTCCACTGCAGAAAATTTGCTGCTGTTCAAAACATCATTTTTATTACTATTTACCACTGTTTTTAAGACAGGATCTCATTACATAGTCCAGGATGGCCTTGAACTAGATACTCAGTCCAGGCTGGTGATCCTCCTGCTCAGGCTTTTAAGTGCTGCTTTAATAGGAGTGTGCCATGATGCCAGGCTTTATCTTTATTATTCTTTAAAAATCTATTTTATTTTATTTTATTTTATTTTTATTTTATTGTCTGTTTAAGACAGGGTTTCACTATGCAGTTCAAAGTGGCCTTGAGTGGGCCAACGATTTAGCTCAGTGGCATAAGTGCCTGCCTAGCAAGCATGTCACCATGAGTTCAATCCCTGGCACCAAAGGGGGGGGGCTTGAGCTCACTCTGTAGCACAGGCTGGTCACAAACATGCTACAATCCTCCTGCCTCAACCTCCCAAAGGTGCTAAGTAGTAAATAAATAAATGGTATTACAGGCATGCACCACCACAACCAGCTCCATTTTATTTTAAAGGAAAAAAAAGAAAAATACAAAATTTCACAGCACATCAATCAGGGGGCAACAATGGTACATGTATCATGCATTGTCATCTGCAAATCACCTCAGAGCACAAGACATCTGCATTCAATTGTATGTACAACACCAGCACATCATTCTCTTCAGTAAACTCAGAGAAAACAGTAGTATAAATTATTTTTACATACTTATATATATACATATATGTGTTATTTTTATTATATATTAAAAGTTTATTTATTTAGTTTGAAATAAGGACTGACTGTTTTGCCCAGACAGGTCTCAAATTCCTGGGCTCAATTGATCCTCCTGCCTTAGTCTCCCAGAGTGCTGGGATTACAGTTGTGTGCCACCACTCCTGACTTTAAAATGGTATTCTGAAACCAGGTGTTAAGACATACTGCCTGTAATCCCAGCACTCAGAAGGCAGAGATCAGAGATCAAAATTTCAAGCCCAGTCCCAACAATTTAGCAAGACCCTGTCTCAAAACTGAAGAGTAATTGGGTGTGGTAACACACAACGCTTGGAAGGCTGAGGCAGGACTCCTGCAAGTACAAAGCCGGCCTGGATTCCATAGTAAATTCAAGGCCAACCTGAACTACACTGTGAAACTCTGTCTCAAAAAAACAAAGAAACAAATAATAATAATTTAAAAAGAAAAACTTTTTTAACCAGGCAGCTGAACTTGGTAACAAAAATGAAGGCTGGGGGCTGGGGATTTAGCTCAAGTGCATAAGGGCCTGCCTTGCAAGCAGGCAGTCGTGAGTCCGATCCCTGGTACCGATTTAAAAAAAAAAAAAAAAAAAAGACTGAAAAAAAAAAGAAGACTGTAGTATGTTTGAAGCTATTTATATTTTAGGTGGGAGAAAATGTCTGTGGGCTAAATTCAGCCCTGATCTGCCACTCGTACCTGATCATGTAATTTACTCTGTTCCCTGTGATCCCAGACCAGGAGCTCTTCAAAGGGAAACCAAATGGACTGACTAGGTTCCAGAGTGATCTAAGTACAGGAGCTAAATAAAAATAGTCATGCCCTTCTCAACCCCTCCATCTCTGCCCTCTTGCAGGTCCTGCCATGTTCTCTTTGCTGTAAATGTTCCTTCTTTCCCACCAACTACCAAGTTTCTACCAATCTTTAAAAATACAAGCCAGGAATGGGTATATGCTTGTAATCCTAGCACTTGGAAGGTTTAGACAGGAGGCTCACTGTGAGTTCCAGGCCATCCTGGACTATATAGCAAACCCTGTCTCAAACAAAAATAAAAACAATTTAAAGTACAGGACCTGTGCCTGCTCTTCTATGCAGCTGTATCTTGTTTCTTGGACTCCCTAGCCTCTGCATCTTTCTCCCAGAAGCAGCTGGGAGCTGGGATTCCCCCACCACTAGACTAGGTGTCTCCTAAGGGCCCGGGTTCACTCAGTCTCGGCCCCTGTATGGCTAAAGCTCAGTGTCAGACATCTAGCTGGCCAATGTGGGTGGATGTGTTGGACTAACTGAGGTCCCAAGTTTCAACATCCTATTGGCCCCTCTGGCCCCAGGAAGGGAACAAGTGATAGTGCCTTGTCCTTCATTTTGGTCTTAGAACTCAGAGCTAATGAAAGGTACTTTCCTGGGTCATCTAACTCACTGAAAACCAAAAGGACCAAGGAAAAAGAAATTTATTGAGGTGACTGGGTATGAGGATACCCTGCCCCAGACACAGCCTCAGCCCCCTCAGTACAGTCTCATGGGTGGAAAGGACCAGGCTTCTGGACTGCTCTGAGCTACTACCCAGGAGAGACTGGGCAGTGGGGCAGGGGAGCTGGGGCTCCAGTCCAGGTCAGAAGTTCGGGGCAACAAAGGTGATGGGTAAGGCAGGGGCTGAGGTTGGCTGACACACCAGTGGCGCGGAGGAGGTGGTGTGCCTACAAGCCAAATGCTTTTTAGTAGGTCAAAGGCTGTGGGGGGACCCCATGCTGCCCCAGAAGGTGAAGGCAACAAGGACAAAGAGGGTGGCCAAGGACCTCTTGGTGGCGCCAGGTTCATCCTGTGTGAAGTGGGAGTGCTGGACGTATGAGGCACAGTAAAGCAGTCCTTTGTCCCCTGTTGCTTCCTCTGCCTCCCTTCTCTTGGGGCCTGTTCAGGCCTGTTGATCCAGGTAGGTGTCATTCTTTGTCTCTCAGGAACCTCAGATTTGGTTCCTGGCACACAGGAAAAAAGTATGTGGGACAGGTGGGCTAGAGCAGAGAAGGGAAAGGAGGAAATAGGGCAGGAGGCAGGCTTGCTCACCTGGCAATGGCGACTGGCAGCCTTGGAGCACCAGGGCAAGATCAGGCACACAGCCATGGAGGGCCTGTAAGGTTCCTATGATGGCATTCCTGGCTTCCTGCACCAGGTTCCTCCCGGGGAAGGCCTCTGGCAAAATCAGTTGGCATTGCAGCTCTCCTAGAAGTTGCCCCAAGCCAGGGAGTTCTGGAGAATTAGGTGGGCCTGGGCCTGAGCCCCCAGGAACCTGGTTCTCCTTGCCCCTTGACTGTAAGACTGGCTCTTGAATCCTGGGTGGGCTAGAGGAAGGCTTAGTGGGGAGCCGGGGAGTGCTTAGCTCCAGGGACCCACTGTCAAGCAGCCGGGCCACATCCAGGGATTTCACCTCATGGTTGAAAAGACCCCGGTGCTCCCGGCTCAGCCGGCCCTGGGTTATGACCACAAGCTTGGAGGCAGCAGGGACCACAGGATCTTGGAGGGCAACAGGTAGGTCCTGCCTGGACATAGGAGGATCCTGATGGGCCAGTGGCCGGCGGCTGCCCACCAGGGCTTCATTCCGCTCTCGCCTAGTCTTCCGACGACGTACACGGCTAGGTTTCTCAGGCTGCTGGCAAGGCTGACGGGCTGGCCTCCAGGGGTCCATTGTGTCCTGGAAGAAAAAGGGACAGTGGTCATCAGATGTAGAAAAATCAGGAAAGCAACAAACTGAGAAGAGAGCTGGGCATAGTGGCGCACGCCTGTAATCCCAGCACTCAAGAGGCTGAGGCAAGAGGATGGTTGGGAGCTCAAGACCAGGCTGGGCTAGAAAGTGAGCTCAAGGCCAGCCTGAACTGCATAGCGAGATCTTGTATCAAAAGTGAAAAAAAAGACAGAGAAAGATTAGAGATAGTTAAGGTGAGGTGTAAACACAATTTTTAAAAATATTTATTTATTTAACTGGTTGTGATACTGGAAACAACTAGAAAGAGGGAAGTAGGCAAATAGATGGAGGATGGGGCTGGGGATTTAGCTCAGTGGCATAAGCGCCTGCCTTGCAAGCAGGCAGTCGTGAGTTCGATCCCTGGTACCAATGAAAAGGAAAAAGACAAAAAAAAAAAAAAAAAAAAAGATGGAGGATGGGATATGAATCATGGGATTCATCTGATTTAGGGGACCAGCCTGGGACTTTAGACCTAGGAGAAATGCAGGAGCAGAGAACTTACAGGAAGATGCAAAAAGAGAAGTGAGATGGTAGAGAAAGAGCTGTGAGAGAATCTGAGAGGATGAGAAAACCTCGGGAGGACAGAAATAAAGACAGAAGACAAGACACTGGTCATGAGGGAAGGCCTAGAGCAGGAGACAGTCTGGGGCAGTTGAGGTAGGGCATTGGGCGCTGAATTAAAGGGGTGAGGTATGGTAGGTGGGGGCTGGGTATCTGAGCCTCTTCAGTCCCAAGGACCCGGCACACTCACTTACTCCACGTGGGTGTGGGAAGCAATGGCTTTTTTTCCGCGACTACGCTAGCCTCGAAGCTGCTGGGCGCTCTCGCCAGGAGGTGGGCGCGCTATACGCATGCGCACTACACGCATGCGCATGCCCCCGCCACGCCCTTTGACTTGCACGTTCTGAACAGAGGCGCGAGGTCCCCAGAGTGCCGGTTATAGCTCTACCCTTTCCAGTCTCTTGACCTTGGCACTACCTGTCCACCAATTGGCTGTGAAGTCTCCTAGGCCCGCCTCCTCCTTGAATGCTGATTGGTTTAAAAGGTTATTGGCGCACTGCCTGGAGATAAGAGATGAGGCTCGAAGTGGAGCACAGTGCAGACTTACCTTATCTCCAACCATGGACTTCATTCCTGGAGAATCATTATTACTTTAGTCTCTATTCAGAGCTAGCCTCTGGAGCTAGACTACCCAAGTTCAAAGCTTGGGCATAGTTGAGCCCTGTGACTTCTGGAAAAGTTAGTGACTGTTCAGGGCTTCCATTTCCTGATCTGTAAAATGGGGTTAGTAATAGTCCATCCTTCATACGGTTACTAAAAGAATGGAATGAATCTATACAACTGTCTTGAAACAGTGCCTGATGAATGAGTGAATGCTTGGAAGCTTTGTTTTTCACTTAAACTTTGCTTCAAAAACTACACCTCTGCCTCTCCAATTTACCTGTCTACATTTACCCCTTCAAATCTTAACATTAAGTTATAAGGCAATCATCCTGGTACAAGCCTGTAACCCCAGCACGCTGGAGACTGAGGCAAGAGGATCAAAAGTTCAAACTGGGAAATTTAGAGTGACCCTGTGTCCAAAAACTTTTTTTTAAATTTATTTTTTGAGACAAGGCCTCACTATGTAGTTCAGGCTAGCCTTGAAATCAGTAAGTAGCTCATGCTGGCCTCGAACTCACAGCAATCCTCCTGCCTCGGCCTCCTGAGTGCTGGAATTACAGGTGTGTGCCACCAATCCAGCCAAAAAAAATTTTTTTAAAGCAGAAGGAGGCTGGGAACGTGGGTCAGTGGCAGAACTCCTGTAGTTTTGATCCGTATTACCACACACATACACATGCATTCTCCCTCCTTTCCAAGAGGTTCCCTGTATCTTTTCTCAATCACAATTCTGATCTCTCAACTCTGAATCTGTCTCCCACAACACATGGATAAGGCCAGCACCCTACTCATTCACTTAATATTCATTCGGCAAATACTGTACTTGTTGAGCACCCACCCATGTGCTTTGGCCAGTTCCAGGGAAGTGGATTGAGACAAAACATAAATACAGTAAGTAAGATTCAACTCTATGCCCCAGGTCCAATCTATCCAGAGGGATGAATACAGAGGAAGGTATGACCTGAAGATGGAGTTACAAGAAAATGACCAGGACATTTAGAGGCAAATGAGACCTTCATCTTGTCCTTCAGAACAAAATTAATTTGGAGTCTGAGATTAATTTGAAGCCAGAGCAGAAGAGGTGCTACTCTAGGTGGCCTTGACCTTTAATGTGAATTTCAGGACCTAGACACCCAGTTGAAGTTGTTGGGTGCAGCAGGGAGCAGAGGCCTCAGATCTGCAAGATGATCTGTTGGAGGGGTGCCAGGCTATCTAGATCTGGGCTCTAGAGACATCTCTAGTTTCCTTTCTCTTTCTTCAACTTTTTCTACTTTCCATGCAAGCCCTATGGTATCTTGAATGGACAAATACGTACTTTTGATTTTACGTCATTAAAAAAAAAAGACCCTGAACCACACATGGTGGCATTGGCCCATAATTTAGTACTCTGGAAGGCTAAGGCGGGATCACAAGTTTGAGCCCAGCCTATTCAATTTAACGAGACCCTGTCTCAAAAAAGGCAAGGGATGTCAGTGAGAAAAGGTCCTGGGTTCATTCTCCAGTATTATAACAGTAACAAGCTGGTGCTTCAAGGAGAGGAAGCCCACGAACAGATAGCTTCCCTATACCACTGGCGCCACCTTAGAGTGCCTCCTTCAAAACAGGTCTCTAATTGTTACATTTTGCCATCTTCCTTTTCTGTCCCCCATACCAATAGAAAATGGGAGAGTCCTCTCCTGACCAGGTGCCTACGAGCCACCCCTCAAGGGATCCAAGAATGAACTCACCCACTAGCTCCCTCCACCCCCACCACCACGTGTATCGGGCACACCCTCACAGTAGGGGGTCCCGTCCACCGTTTTCTCTCCCTACAGCAAATTATTTTTTCCTCCAAAGAACAGCGCTAGATTTTCCCTACCCACTCTCGGCTTTTCAGGTAGATGAGTCCTCCCCGTAACGCCACTGGGTGGTTTGCTCCTCCTCCCCCGCCACGGGCGCTGGATGGTGTCGCCTGCCCCGCCTCCAGTCCGGGGCGAGCTAGCCGTCGCAGCCGGAGAGCCTAAGGCCAGGGCGGGAAGTGCCAGACGAGCCCACTGCGCGGCCTCCTTGGGGGAGGACAGTGTTCTCAACGATTCCCCCTCCCTCCTAAGCTAAGGTTTCTGCCTGTGGAGGTTGGGGGGGGGGTGCCCTAGGTCGGCCTTCGCCCTTCGGGAGAGTGGGCGCGCCGGGACGGTCCATTGTTGTCCGGAAGGGTAGGAGTGGGCGTGGCGGAGCCTCCGCCTGCGGGATCACTCTCCAGCGGACCACACTAACTGTTCCGCAGGAGCTGCAGCACCAAGATGAGCGAAAAGGAGAATCCAGCCAGCAAGCCCACTCCGGTGCAAGACCAGCAGGGCGACGGGCGATGGATGTCTCTGGTAGGCGATCACGCCCGGTGTACTCAAAGAGGTCGGCTCCGGGGGAGGGGGGGAGAGAGGTGCGCGGAGGGTGGGGGTGGTACGAGATGCGTAATTCTCATGGCCTATCCGGGAAGCTCAGGGCAATTGGGATAGTACTGCCTGACAAAGCAAGACAGCAGGGGGCACGGAGCGTGCGTGCCATTAACTGTCACACACTCCCTTCGTGCGTTCCCACAGCACCATCGATTCGTGGCCGACAGCAAAGACAAGGAACCCGAAGTCGTCTTCATTGGGGACTCCTTGGTCCAACTAATGCACCAGTGCGAGGTGAGACCCATCCCCTTCTGCTTTACCAGGCTTGTGTCCTGAGTGACACGAATGGCTGAGAACACTGGCCTGACTAGATGTGGGGTACTCGAAATGGCCTGAGGCAGCTGTGCACGGAGAATCTCCCTAAGTGGAATAATCTGCTGACAAGGAAGTGTGTACCCAGAGTTTGTCAGGCTTAAAATGAAGCTTTTTTCCAAGAAGATTGCCTAGGGTGAGGCTCTTTATTGTTTGCTTAAAGTAGAGCAACAGCCCTATTGGGTTTATGCAAAGCAAAAGTCAACTGTAATGGTGCTCCACAGGGGAGGCCCAGTCATGTCTTTCCAACGTTAAACCATAAAGGTTTTTTATCAAAATAAAATTCAGCCACAGTGTTATTGGCTATGTGTGGCTCAAGCAGACTGATTTCCATAAAATGAACCTTGCTTCTAGTTAATGAGACTAATAGGTTACCATTAAGAGGTTACAAGGTACTGGGATTTGTCAAAGTGAGATTTAACCAGACTGCTTCTATAAAGCAAGGCTTTTTCATAATGGCATTTGATTAAAGCCTGGATAGGGGGTGGTGGGCCATGCTGAGGATGCTCGTGCCCATACATTTTACCCACAGATCTGGCGAGAGCTCTTTTCTCCTTTGCACGCGCTTAACTTTGGCATTGGTGGTGACAGTACACAGCATGTACTGTGGCGGCTAGAGAATGGGGAGCTAGAACACATCCGGCCCAAGGTGAGTGAAACTTGAGTAGGAAGCTAAAGCACCTTTTGCCAGTCACCTCACCACTGCATTGTGCCCCTCTTTCCACAGATTGTGGTGGTCTGGGTGGGCACCAACAACCATGACCACACACCAGAGCAGGTGACTGGTGGCATCAAGGCCATTGTACAACTGGTGAACCAGCGGCAGCCCCAGGCTCGGGTCGTGGTGCTGGTGAGAGGCTGGGAAACTTGGAAGGGAAGAATGGCAGTGGTCAGGGACCTCCTAGATGTCACCCAGCTGACACAATTCTTGGCAACATGCAGTAGTTTGCTACACCCATAAGAGTAGCAGTAATGGAAGACATGTTCAGGGGCCAGATAACCCCTTTTGCCCAAGGAACTGCTCGATTCTGCAAGTGTTAAACCTTCACTGCCCAAAAGGGTGTAGGCAAAAGTTGTCAGGCATTTGTAGAGTGTATGTATTTAGGCTGGGACATTTCCTCCTTTGAATGGGGCACTGCCATGTCAACATTTTTATGAGTGATACTTGGAAAAGTATCACTGGCTGGCACTCAGTTCTTGCTGATTGGATGGAAGGATGTGGTATGGGGAACTACCCTTCTGCCTTCTCTACTTTTCCATCCATAGTGTATTTTGCGGGTAGAAACCTTACAGTGAGCAATGGACAGGTAACAGAGTAGCCAGAAACTGGTAGACATCTTAAGACTCTTCATGTTGCTCCTCAGGGCCTGCTTCCAAGGGGTCAGCACCCAAACCCACTTCGGGAGAAGAACCGAAAGGTAAACGAGCTGGTACGGGCAGCATTGGCAGGCCACCCACGGGCCCACTTCCTGGATGCTGACCCTGGCTTTGTGCACTCTGATGGTACCATAAGCCATCATGACATGTATGATTATCTTCACCTGAGCCGCCTGGGATACACACCTGTCTGCCGGGCCCTGCACTCACTGCTTCTGAGTCTGCTTGCCCAAGACCAGGGCCAGAATGCCCCTCTGCCAGAGTCCACATCCTAACCTTCCCACATTAAATTCTCCTTCCCCAGTCTTCTGTTTCCTGCTTTATGGCTTAGCCTCACCCTGATATGGGACCTTATAGAGTACTTCTATTTCTTCATGACAGGTATCATTAGTCTAGCAAGACACTTTGGTTCTTGGATACAAACGAATTTCCACTACCACAGTAGTGTCCTTTGGGCAGATGCTAACAATCAAGAAACACTGGGTGAAATCAGTTTGCCATCATTACCTTGTTAGGTAAGAATTTGGAAACATACTCAAAAAAATACAGAGCTGTTTCTCCATTCTACACATTATCCTGGTTGGAACTTGCCTTAGCTTAGATGCCACTTCCTGTGGAGGTTTCCAGGCCCTTCCACCCCCATTGGTGGTCTCTGCACTGGATGCAGTTCTCAGGAGGGCATGATTATCCAGAAGCTGAGAGGGAGGGGTGAACATCTAGAAGCTTCAGTGCCAATTCAGGCCACATGGGGGCAGCAGGGGTTATTCAGGATGGCTTAGTATTCTGGGTGGACTGGCCTCAAGTGCTGCCTCTGGGATAGGACCTCTTGGGACCTGTAGAGTAAAACTGATTCCAGGACAGATAAAGGTGAGCTGCCTTTCTCAGACCACTAGGTTGCCTCAGGCCTTCCCCAAGCTTGAACATGCTGAATGGCTGAGAACAGCATGATGGGCCCAGGAGCACAGGACTCTTGCACTAGAGGCTGCCTCATCCACAAAGTCTCTGCAGCCTTTGGATCTGGGGCTAGGACTAGTACAACACACACTCCTCCCACTGCAGAATAAGCAGCCACACAAGATGTGTTAAACAGCTTTAATTGCGGTCATTGCTGCTTCTCGGCACAGTAAGAAATATTGCACATGATCAACATGTTTTGTTCCGGGGATAGGGGCAAGGGCAGGGGAATTACCTTCTTAGAAAGTACAACCCAAGTTGGGAGGGCAGAAGGGTAGGGAGAGAACCCTCCCTATGCCTGTGGCAAAAGTGCAGGAGCCCCACCCCCCAAACTAACCTGAGTCCAGCCCCTCTGGGGAAAAATGGGGTGCATGAACTCCCCCCTACTCCACAGGCACCTCCCTGTGGCCCAAGACCCATACTACCTTCCAGCTTGCAGCCCTCACATGAGCCATTTTGCATAAAGTACAAGTGAAAAGCTCTGAAGGTCACACTCCAGGTTATGAACAGGGGCTCAGTGGAGGGAAGACTGTGCCCATGTTTCCTCAGCTGCCCCCCAGCACAGGGAGGGAACTGGGGGGAGGGAGTATATACAAGAGGAACAGGCCTCATTCCGCCCCAAGCTGGAAAGGACGAAATGGCTTTATTGGGGAGGAGGTAACCACCCTGATGCCCCCCTCTTCCTGCCACCTGCATAATGTCCGTGTCCTGAGGGGGGGGGGGTACCGTGGGTCCTGGATCTTCTCAAAAGGGCCCCTCACCTGCTTGTGGCAGCTGTGGAAGGGCCCGAGGGTGGAGAAGGGTGGGGGGCCCCCTCCCAGCCAGGCTGTCCAGATCCCGGCTCTGGAGGTGGAGGCAGTGGTGGGGCAGCCTGGGCTGTGCCAGAGTCCGAGCTAGGTAAAGTAGGGTCAGGGCCTCCAGCAGGGCTGGGTGTAGGAGCAGGGGTAGCAGCAGTGCCAGCTGGGGGCGGTCCGGGAAGGGGCGGCTCAGCTCCAGGGGGCTGCTCTGTGGGAGTGGCTGCCTGCATGATCTTCTGGCGCACCTCTCGGATCTTCAGTTGCAGACAAACCTTAGATGGAAAGATGTCTGCATAGCGGGCCTGAAAGGCTGCTGTGGCCTGGGCTGAAAAAGAATTGTGGATAGGGCAGGATGAGATATATAGGTAAGTGCCATCCAGGTGACTTCCAAGAGTCTAAGACATGCTTACCTGACGGGAAGAAGCCGTGGTCCTGGAAGAGCTGCATGACCAGGGCCCGACGCTGGTCCAGCGTACGCCGCAGGGAGGAATATGGCACCTTCTCATATTCCAGCTCTCCTAACACATCCTCAGCCTCTGTCCCTGCGGGGGAAGGGAGCAGGCCCAAGTCCACAACAGCATGGCATGTTGCATGCCTATAATCCCAGCACTTGAGAGGCTGATACAGGAGGATTGCCAAAGTGAGGCCAGCCTAGGACACATAACTGAGTTCAAGGCTAGCCTGAATTACATAGCAAGATTCTGTCTCAAGGAGGAAAAAAACCAAACAGCAGCATAAGCCTCCCTGCCATCATCTGAGTACCCACTCAGGTCCTCTCAGTTCTAATTTCACAGGGGAGTCAGGGGTCTGGCAGTATCACATGGTGACTCGCCCACCTGATAAACCCTGAAATTCAACTTTGACTTGCTATTCTTCTTTGCAACACCCCCCTCACTGTTCCCATACTACTCTCCCCAAACCTCTCCTCTTGCAGGCCCTGGGGTCCCTACAGTGCCCACACCTGTGCGGTCAAAGGTGAAGATGTCCCCCTCGCACTTGGCACTCTTGGGGGTGTTGGGCTCTGAGCTGCAGCTAGAGCGTCTCCTCATCTTGCGCTTAGGTGAGGTAGGGTCCTCTGGTGCTGAGTCCAGGTCTGGCCAAACAGAAGTAGGCTCAGTAGAAGTAGCCCAACACTGTTCCCCCACCCACCCAGGAGCCAGTATTCGCCTACCCGTGGAGTTCTTCCTCTTTTTGCGGTAAGAGCCCAGGATGGCCCGAGGCGAGGTGGCCAGAGACTGCAGAGTGGGTGATGGCAGTACTTCCTCTGGTCGAAATTCGGGCAGCTCAGCAAAGCGTTCTTCGAAGTCCACCTCTGACAGGACCCTGCTGAAGGGCCGGCAGGATACCTCCTCTGCCTCAGCCTGAAGCCACCCCCTCTCCCACCAGCCCCACACCCTTTGCCAAGAACCCCAGCTCCTGCTCACTTGTCCACAGAGTCAAAGGTCTTCTTCAGGGGTGGGGGCCGCACCTTCACCTTCTTGCCAGTACTAGCAGCCTCCTTGCGCTCAGGCGTGTCCCCGGCCGCCCTCCCACTGCTGCCCTCGCTGCTGCTGCTACTGCTGCTGCTGCTACCACCTGGGGCTGTGGCAGGAGCTGGGGCTGGACTGGGAGGAGTGGGAGGCTCCCCACGGCTTTCTAGGCTCATCCCAGGAACGCGCCAGTCTGAGGATGAGCTGGAGAATTTGCTAGCCTGAGGTAGGGACAAGCAGGAGAAGACCACTGGGCTGACCCGCTGGGGCAACAGCCAGAAACATGAATTCTGGACAACTCAACATACAGACCCTTAAAGACCCAGTCTCATGGCTTCAGGAAAATCAAACTAGATCCCAGATGGGAGGGATACACAAGACAGGTAGGACATACGTGCAGGCATGCAAGGAAGAGCAAGGTAGAAAAACAGGGACAGTGGGCAGCAGACAAAGCACCAGAGAGCCCCAGAACCTGCTGGACACTTACCATGGCATCAGGGACCTTGGTACCAGTCCGTTCCTCAGCAGGCAAGGGTGGTGGTGGACTGCTCCGGGCTGTGGGAGGCCAGGTCTCTGGGGGTGGTGGAGGAGCTGGCGGTGTAGGCTGCCCCTCAAGCTCAGTATCTGGTGTAGCTGGCTCTCGGGCAGGACCAGACTCTAGAGGCTGCCGAGATACAGGTCCAGGCCGCCCAGTGGCACCTGCTTCAAAGGAGCCTACAGGAATGCTGGCGATGGCTGCCTTCACTTTTTGGGGGGCCTTTGGGCTGGGCCGCTGGGCTTTCGGGGCCACTAAACTGTAGGTCATGGAGCCTCCTGGTGGGAAAAACATTTGCTAAGTCAGGCCAAATGGAGATTATTCCCTGTGTCCCCCAACTCACCCTTCCTTGGACTATCTGGTAACTCACCTGTAGCGCTAGGGAAAGGACTAGTAGGGGCTGGGGTAGCAGTGGCAGGGACCGGTGGGCCCTTGGGCAGAATGGTAGTGGCAGCAGGTGGGGTGGTGCTGGTGGCCACGGTATACACCAGACTTGGGGGGGCCTGGGATGGCTGAGCCACAGGTGCTGAGGAGGAGGGTGCAGGGCTGCCAGGGTAAAATGCTGTTATGACAGGACCTCCCGGTGCTGTGCAGGCAGGAGGCAGCTGGGGGCTGGGCACCGGTGACACGCCCACTTGGCCAGGAGCCAACAATGGGGCTTGACCTGCTGGGAGACAAAAATGGAAAGCAAGGGACTTAGTTAGTTAGGACCTGGCCTGTCTCAGCCTCGCCCAGTGCTCCTTGCCAAGCTGCCACTCACCTGAGAGCAGGGGCTGCACAAACGCTGGTCCACTGGGCCCCAGTGAAGTGAAGCCTAGAGCTACAGAGCTTGTGGGCCCATAAGAGGTAACTGCTCCAGCCTGGCTGGACACAGGGCTGGTGCCCAGGGGCAGTGTGTGCCCACCTGCTGACTGCACGTAGGTGATTCTGCCATGGAAAGAAGAGGCAGACCGAAGTGAGCTGGTTTGCCCCGTCAGGTCCTGCCCCTTTCGGCCTTACCCTGCCCCTCCACTCTGGGGAGTGCTCAACTGTGCTCACCTGGTGGAGGAGGGCAACAGGACCTTCTGAGGCTGTGAGGTGGTTCCAGGGAGGGGGGCTGGGCTCAAGGGCGGCACCAGGCCGCTGGGTGTGCTCACAGGCACAGGAGTCAGCTGGATGATCTGTGGGTAAAAGCACCAACAGGATGGGGTAAGCTATGACCCTAAAGCAAAATGACTGAGACCTAGGAGGGACACTATGCAAAAGCCTCTCAGAATCTAGGACTCACACATGACAGGACAGATGACAAGAGGTGTGGAAACAGAGAGAAAAAAAGCAAGACACTGGGAACTTAAAACCAGCAGGGTACACAGATATTATTTAGGATGCCAAGATAACACTCCAAAAAGAGAAAGAAAATCACTAAAGGAAAAAGACAAGGAAACAGTACGAGACAGGAAACAACATATAGAGATGAAAGGGAAAAGTGGGGCCAAAGTCAATAAATATGCCCTTACCTTGCTGGGTGGCTGGGCACCATTCTGCACAGGTACTGAGAATGGCGGGCTTAC